GAATTATTTCCTCCCCGTACAATATCCCTGGAACAAACCGTCAACAAGTGGAGCAACACACTCTTCAAACATGGCAGATGGAGGAGAACCAGTACTCCCATAGACATGATCAAAAGTAAACAAATGTGTGCCAATTTGCACCTGTGGCTTTCCAGAGACGACAGTGACACAATCTACACAACCTTGAAGCCTCTCATCGTTGATGAGTGGCCGGATTTGAACAGCGACTTTTACGCAGCAATCCTCCGTCGCGGAGGCTTCCATGGGAAGAGAAGCACAAGGAAGAAACAACAGTTATGGCGAGAGAGAGAGAGAGATGAAGTTGGGTGGGTGTTATGTGTGTTGCTCTTTTCTCTCTAAACCGTGTGTGTGTGTTGTCTCTGTCGAGAATGTCTTGAGGAGGGTCATAAATCTCTAGTGTTGTTCCTCCTTTTCTTTTATTTATTTTTTATTTTTTATCCTTTCAACCGTGTGGGGAGATGGCCAGAGAAGTGTTCATAACAGCATTATACACCTGTAACTCCATTACTACAAATCAATCCACATGCTGCTTTCCGGTGCCACTTACTCAACATCATGATGTTGAGCAATTGTTAAAGCATAGCTAAAGTGTAGGTGGTGGGGTCCTATTTTATTCCTCCATCTCCCATTATATATATATATATATATTTATTTTGGGTCATCACAGAAGATGAGTTGCATAAGTATATGAATGTGGTAGAAGCGCAATTCCAACAGGATGGTGGTGTAACAAAAGTTAATGCAGAGGAGCATAGTGGTGTTACAAAAACTAAGGTGGAGTAGGATAGTGGATATGATAGTTCTGAGATTCAGTCTATAGATTTGGAGGACTATGAGGATACTGAAATTGATGAAAGTGAAGATGACATCCTATTTGAAACTCATGTGGATAAGAATGTGGAATGGAATGGCTCAAGGAGAAATAAGGCGGCCACGGTGGTTCTTCGTGTCAGTTAATGGGGGGATGGGGGTGCGCACCATCTGGAAGGTGCCAACTCGGTCGATGGAGTCTAGGCTGGGGGCGGTGGCGGAAGAGAGGGTGAAGAGAGTGAGGGAGTGGAAAGAGAGAGAGAAAGCCAGATGGGACGATCTTGTCCAGCCGTCTGCACTGTTTGAGGCGGGGCTGGGACCGCAGCCGAAAGGTGGAGACCTCGGCCGGGCGGAGTTGGAGGAGAGGAGAAGAGCACAGGAGGTAGAGGATCGAGCCGTTATGGCCAAGGCTGCGAAGTTGATAGAGGCGCAGAGGGACCGACCGCCTGAACCGATCTCGCGGGAGAGGATCCGACCGCGCCCCAGGCCGTTGGGGGAAAAAGACTTAAGCAGCTTTGAGCCGCGGCCGCCGCTTGTAGACCCTGTAAAAGAAAAGGCCAGAGAGGCGGTGGCGGCTATGAAGAAAAAGAAGGAGAAGAAGAAGAGGGGAGCCCTAGAGGAGGCTGCAGAGGAGTCTGGGGCCAAGAGGGTGAAGGTGGCCCCAACGGATGCGGAGGTCCCTGCGGCAAAGGACGCCCCAGAGGTGGTGGAGATCATCCCAACAGTGGAGGTTGTGGAGATGGCTCCACCAGTACAAGTGGAGGCTGGGCTGGGTGAGGCGGCGCCGAGCGGGAGGGAACAGGTCCAGAGGAGGCCTGACCCCCAGGAAGGAGGGGTTCGTGTGGCTATGGCGATTTATCATGTGCGCGCGGTAGCTGGAAAGTTGGAGGGAGAAGAAGGTCCAGCCAGGGTGGGAGCCGACCGCCTGGTGAAGATTGTGGATGAGGGAGCTCTGCGCGCGGCATCTGGGTATAGTGAGGCCGACCTGCTGAGGGGGTTATGCTCCGCCCAAATGGAGGTAACCACCTTGGCGGGGGCTCTTCTTAGGAAAGCTAGGGCCGCCAAGTTGAAGGCTGAGGAGGCCAGGACCCAGTTGGCCAAATTAAGGAAGGACAGTGCCGACTGGGAGACTACCTATGCCGATCTGTCAGCAGTCAAGTTGGAACTGGAGGACACACGCCGTAAGGTTGTGTCGCTGGAGTTCCAACTGGCTGGTGAACAGAAATGAAGAGTTGGTCAGGCAAAAGGATGAAGCGGACTCCAGAATTGGAGACCTGTTGAAGGAGCTGGGGGAGGAGCGCGCTAGAGCAGAGGAGGACAAGGGGAGGCTTCGGAGGGAATGGAAGATGGAGAAAGCGAAGGTGGCGGCGGAGCTGGAGAGTCTGAGGAAGAGGATGGAAGAGGAGAGGGCGACGGCGGCTGCTGAAAGGGGGGCCCTGCAAAGGGAGCTGGACGAGGAGAGGGCGAAGGCGGCGTCTGAAAAGGCGGCCTACCCTGATCTATGCGTCGCGGCAGTGGAGCAATATAAAGGGTCCCTCGAATTCCAGATGGTGGTGGATGCTGCCGTCGCCAGGAGTCTGGCTGGTCAAGAGCCTGGGGGGGTGGGCCCATCAAGGAAGATTGCTGGGGGTAGGACGGAATCAGAGGTGATTGAAAGCTTCCAGAAGTCCGACTTCTATAAGCACGAAATGGCCGAGTTTTGGGACAGCGGTTGGAAAATGTTCAAGCGTAAAGCTGAGGAGCTGTTCCCAAACTTGGACCTGAGTAGTGTGACAATAGGCGAGGATGATGTGGCCCAGACCCCCCTGGACGAAGGCGTTGAAGAAGAGGATCTAGCATCCAGCGAGGAAGAGTAGCCAAGGAGAAGAAGAAAGAGGATCTAGCATCTAGCGAGGAGGAGTAGCCAAGGAGAAGAAAAACTGGGCGTGCTCTGTGTTTGTTTTGTTTTTTTTGTTTTTTTTAAACTTGTAAACACATTGTAAAGGAATGAGTGAATGAATGAAGGTATGGAGAATTTAACTGTAATGAAGTTGTGTACAAAGATTATTTAATTGTAATGGATGAATGTATAGCCAGTTGAATTTTGTGTATTTTGCTTATGCTGCCAGTGTGAGTGAAATGTTGTGATTAAAACTGGTTAAAAAGATTGGGTCAATAAAAAGATCGTGTAATGTGAAAGTTAAACATCATGAATGAAATGTTTATTTTGCGGAGTGCGATTGGAGTTGTATGAAAATTGAAAAGATATTGGAAAAAGTGGAGTAGGAGGCAGGTTGTAAATTGTAACTAACTAGTTGGCAAATAATCTGATCATTAGATGAAATACGTGAGAGTATATGGAGAATTTAACTCGGTTGTATTGTAACTAACTAGTTGGCAAGACGTGATCCTAGAACTGTGAAGAAGCTTCAGAATGTGACTAAGTGTTGAAAATGTGGTGCTGCTGGGCGTTGAAGTGTTCAGTCAGGCTGAGGCTTTTGAAGTGCTCAGTTTGGTAGGGACCTTCGAAGTGCTTGGTCTGGCAGAGGCCTTCGAAGTGCTCAGTCTGGCCGAGGCTTTTGAAGTGCTCGGTCTGGTCGAGGCTTTTGAAGTGCTCGGTCTGGCCGAGGCTTATGAAGTGCTCGGTCTGGCCGAGGCTTTTGAAGTGCTCGGTCTGGCCGAGGCTTTTGAAGTGCTCAGTCCGGCTGAGGCTTTTGAAGGGCTCGGTCTGGCCGAGGCTTTTGGAGTACTCGGTCTGGCCGAGGCTTTTGAAGTGCTCCGTCCGGCTGAGGCTTTTGAAGGGCTCGGTCTGGCTGAGGCTTTTGAAGGGCTCGGTCTGGCCGAGGCTTTTGAAGTGCTCTGTTTGGCTGAGGCTTTTGAAGTGCTCGGTCTGGCCGAGGCTTTTGAAGTGCTGCAAGTTCCGAGGCTTTTGAAGTGCTCGGTCTGGCCGAGGCTTTGAAGTGCTCGGTCTGTCCGAGGCTTTTGAAGTGCTCGGTCTGGCCGAGGCTTTGAAGTGCTCGGTCTGTCCGAGGCTTTTGAAGTGCTCGGTCTGGCCGAGGCTTTGAAGTGCTCGGTCTGTCCGAGGCTTTTGAAGTGCTCGGTCTGGCCGAGGCTTTGAAGTGCTCGGTCTGTCCGAGGCTTTTGAAGTGCTCGGTCTGGCCGAGGCTTTGAAGTGCTCGGTCTGTCCGAGGCTTTTGAAGTGCTCGGTCTGGCCGAGGCTTTGAAGTGCTCGGTCTGTCCGAGGCTTTTGAAGTGCTCGGTCTGGCCGAGGCTTTGAAGTGCTCGGTCTGTCCGAGGCTTTTGAAGTGCTCGGTCTGGCCGAGGCTTTGAAGTGCTCGGTCTGTCCGAGGCTTTTGAAGTGCTCGGTCTGGCCGAGGCTTTGAAGTGCTCGGTCTGTCCGAGGCTTTTGAAGTGCTCGGTCTGGCCGAGGCTTTGAAGTGCTCGGTCTGTCCGAGGCTTTTGAAGTGCTCGGTCTGGCCGAGGCTTTGAAGTGCTCGGTCTGTCCGAGGCTTTTGAAGTGCTCGGTCTGGCCGAGGCTTTTGAAGGGCTCAGTCTGGCTGAGGCAGTTCCTCGGCCCAAAGGCCTTTAGCAGCTTCGAGCTTGGTTTTGATGATTTTGAGAAGGGAACGGTTGGTGACTTCAACTTGGCCGTTTGCCTGGGGGTGACCGGGGGAGGAGAAGCACGGTTGGGTCTGGAGATCTGCACAAAATTTTCTGTACTTCGCGTTATCGAATTGTTTGCCATTGTCAGAGATGATGGCTTGAGGGATGCCAAATCGGCAAATGATAAATTGCCAGATAAACCTGGTGGTGTTCCGCTCGGTGATTGTGGCAAGGGGTTCAGCCTCGACCCATTTGGTGAAGTAATCAATAGCAACGATTGCGAACTTGGTCTGACCTCGACCGGTGGGAAGCGGACCGACCAGGTCGATCCCCCACTTGGCAAACGGATAAGGGCTGTAGAGTGTGATCAACTCTGTGGGAGGGACGTGAGGGATGTTGGCGATGCGTTGACATTTATCGCATTTGAGCACGAAGTCGGTCGCATCCTGATTGAGAGTTGGCCAAAAGTACCCAATACGGAGTATCTTCTGGGCAAGGGACCTGCCTCCTGAGTGATTGCCACAAATTCCCTCATGGATCTCCTGCATTATGTAAGTTGCTTGCGCTGGATTGAGGCACCGTAGATATGGCCGGGAGAAGCCGCGTTTGTACAATATATCGTCGATAACGACGTAATTGGAGGCGCGGGATCGGACTTTGGAAGCCTGCAGCTGGTCATCTGGGAGTGCTCCTGTGGTCAAGAATAGGAGGATGTCGGACGCCCAAGGGATAGGTTCATTTTGAATGCACTGTATGGCTTGTAGATCGGGTGAAACGGCCGGGTGGTATAGATATTCAACGCGGACCTCATGGCTGAGGGTGGGATGGTCAGCCGAAGCCAATTGAGCCATCTCATCTGCTTTGGAGTTTTCTGCCCGAGGAATATGCCTGATGTGGAAGGTAGTGAAGAAGCGAGCAAGGGGGAGTGCCAGGTCTCTGTAAGCTCACATCGTATCGTCCTTGGCGTCAAAGTCCCCCGTCATCTGACCGACGACGAGTTGGGAGTCGCTGAAAACTCGGAGGTGGCTGACCCCTATGTCCTTGGCAAGGTGGAGTCCTGCTATTAGTGCCTCGTACTCGGCTTCATTGTTGGTTGTTTCAAACAGGAAACGGAGGGCACATTTGAAGTGGCCGCCCTCAGGAGAGGTGAGGATGAGGCCGGCACCGCTTCCTTCTCTTCGGGACGACCCGTCAACATTGAGAGTCTAAGAATGAGGATCTTCTAGCTCTGTTGGAGCTGATAGGGGCGAAGGTGTGGTGGTTGGGGTTGGCCTGGTGAACTCCATGATGAAGTCAGCTACAGCCTGCCCCTTGATTGCTGTCCGAGGGCGATAAGAGATGTCAAACTGGCTGAGTTCTACGGACCACTGCATCAGTCTGCCTGAGAGTTCTGGTTACTGCATGACTTTCTTCAGGGGCTGGTCGGTGAGGACCACTATGGAGTGGGCTTGGAAGTATGGGCGGAGTCGTCTAGAGGCAATGACCAAGGGCAGGGACAGTTTTTCCAGCAAGGGGTAGTTCTGCTCCGCGCCCCTGAGAGCTCGGCTAATGTAATAGACCGGTCGTTGGACCGAGCCATCTTCTCGAAGGAGAGCTGCACTGACTGCGGTTCCTGATACTGCTAGGTAGAGAAAGAGGGGTTCATACTGCTAGCTGTCTTTGGGACAAGCTCGGTTCAGGTCAGAGTAGTCGACACAGAGTCGCCACCTGCCATTGTGTTTACGGACGAGGACCACATTGGACAGCCATCGAGGATAGTCCACGTTTTTGATGAATTGGGCCTCGAGGAGTTTGTCAACTTCGGCGGCTATAAGGGTATTGCGCTCCGGATGGAAAATGCGTTGTTTCTGGCGGTGGGGTCGAAAATGGGGTTTGATGCTGAGGCGATGGGTTATGAAGGAGGGGTCGATGCCTGGCATGTCAGAGTGGGTCCAGGCGAAGACATCTCTATGCTCGGTTAAGAGAGCAGTAAGGTCGGCCTTGGCCTGGGCGGGTAATTGGCTGCCGATCCTGGCGGTTCTGATTGGGTTGGTGGGGTCGATGTTGACTTCAACAAGTTCCTCTACAGGCTCACCTCTGACCAGCTCATCTTCGTCTCGGACGTCAAGCCCTTCGATGATCATGGCCTCTTTTAGCTTGACTTCTTTGAGCGAGGCGACATAACACTCCCTGGCCATGGTTTGTTCGCCTTTGACAGTTCCGATGCCGAGATCGGTGGAAAATTTCATGGCCAGATGATATGTGGAAGTGATGGCTTGGAAGGCATTTAGGGCTGTGCGGCCAAGGATAATGTTGTAAGCGGAGGGGCAGTCGACCACAAGGAAAGTGACCAGCTTAGTGGTCTGCCGCGGGTGCTCGCCGATGGTGATAGGCAGATCGATGGAGCCGATGGAGGTCACTCGGTCGCCGGTGAAGCCGACCAGAGGGGTTTGGAGAGGGGACAAGCTCTCTTCCCCAATCTTGAGTTGGCGGAAGCAATTGAGGAAGATGATGTCTGAGGAGCTGCCGTTGTCTATGAGGACTCGTCTGACTTTGTAGTTGGAGAGGATGGCGACAGTTATAGTTAGGGACTTGGTCCCTGACATGGATGTTGTATATATGTCGCATGTACATATGTTTTGGTTATCAATGTGACATGTTTATAAAAAGTCTTTTTGCATCCAGATTATCACAGCTCATTGGACATCTTTTATTTACTGATCATATATAAAAACAGCCTTAGGCCCAACATATAACAAAACGACCTCAGGTCCAATATATGAAAATGGCCTCGGGCCCAATCATATATAAAAACAGCCTTAGGCCCAACATATAACAAAACGACCTCAGGTCCAATATATGAAAATGGCCTCGGGCCCAATCATATATAAAAACAGCCTTAGGCCCAACATATAACAAAACGACCTCAGGTCCAATATATGAAAATGGCCTCGGGCCCAATCATATATAAAAACAGCCTTAGGCCCAACATATAACAAAACGACCTCAGGTCCAATATATGAAAATGGCCTCGGGCCCAATCATATATAAAAACAGCCTTAGGCCCAACATATAACAAAACGACCTCAGGTCCAATATATGAAAATGGCCTCGGGCCCAATCATATATAAAAACAGCCTTAGGCCCAACATATAACAAAACGACCTCAGGTCCAATATATGAAAATGGCCTCGGGCCCAATCATATATAAAAACAGCCTTAGGCCCAACATATAACAAAACGACCTCAGGTCCAATATATGAAAATGGCCTCGGGCCCAATCATATATAAAAAC